TGGTGTTGAGGATCCAACCCGGGCTGCACGCATGCCAGGCAAGCGCGCTACCACTTGAGCCACATCCCCAGCCCAGGTTTGTTGTTTTTGTTGTTGTTGTTGTTTGTTGTTCTTGTATGTGTTTTACTAAGGATTGAACTCAAGCAACAAGCTCAGCCAGCCCTCTCCCCACACACTTTTATTTTTTTTTAGACACTGTATCACTAAGTTGTCCAGGCTAGCCATGAACTTACTTTTTTTTTTTTTTTTTTTGGTACTAGGAATTGAACACAGGTATGCTTTACCATTTAGCTGTATCCTCAGTCCTTTTAATTTTTTTATTTTAAGATAGGATCTTCCTAAGTGGCTTGGGGACTTGCAAAATTGCTGAGGCTGGCCTCGAACTTGCAGTCCTCTTGCTTCAACCTCCAGAGTAACTGAGCTTTCAGAACATATACCATCCTGCCCTGCTGCCTTAAATTTACAATCCTTTTGATTGAGCCTGGGAGTAGCTTGAATTAAAGGCCAGCACCACCAGGCCTGGCCAATTACTAAGGTTTCATAAGCAAAAATAAGTAACCCTAAACTGAAATAGGAAATAAAATTTTCTATTCTTACCTTTGATGATCTCCATTCCCAACCATCACCTATCTGTTGTGAATGTTTAATGAATTCTGAACAATGATGCTGGAATGTTTTTTCTCCAAAAAATTCATCTTCTTCCATTTTAAATGATAGCTGCAATATAAAAACTCAGTATTGGCAACAGATTGAGAACAAATACTAAAAGGAATTCTGTTAATTGGTTTATTTCTTTAAACAAAGTTTGAGCTATACAATAATATAGAAAATAACTTCATGGCCATTCCAAAAAATGGTCTGTTTCCATCTTTCACACCCTGTTCTCATTTCCTTTATCAGTCAACAAGAAAACTCAAAACCTAGATTTGTAACAAATATGTATATAGAGAGGTTTTCTCCCTCCTGATTTTTGGTTTGTTTAGTTTGGTTTTTGGTGTTTTGTTTTTGTTTTTGATTTTTTTGTTTGTTTGTTTGTTTGAGTTCTGGGATCGAGTCCAGGGCCTCATGCATGCTAAAAATGTATGCTACCACTGAACTACACTCTCAGCCCYGCATCTATGTTTTTAATAATGACAAGGGTGATGTTGAATATAGCATAAGTCCTCACTATTATATTTTACTAGAACCTATACTTAGTAAAAAGTTTATTTTGACCCAATGTGGTGGACATCCCTATAATCCCAGCCATGGGAAGGGGCAGGGTGCTGACACAGAAGGTTCACAAGTTCGAGGCCAGACTGGGCAACTTAGGGAGATCCTATCTAAAATTAAAAAATTAAAAGGCTGGATGTAGCTCAGTGGTTGAGTGCCTGTAAGTTCAATCACCAATACTGGGAGAAAAAAAAACTATTTGGACCCAGGGTCAACAATCTGTCTATAATAGCTGATTTCCAAATCAGTATTCTGCTTATTCAGATTTGGTAGGTATAACCTATACAAGAATATATTAATTCGTCCAACAAATACACACTGAGTATATATTAAATAGTAGGCACTGTGCTTATATAGAGGWTAAATATTTTTTAAATGAAAAAATATATATTCCTTGAACAAAGGGAGATAAGTAAGAAAAACAATTATAGTAGAAACTTTCACTCTCTTCCTCCCCACCCTGCTCTCTTTTGGCACTGAGGATTGAACCCAGAGGCACTTTACCACTGAGCTACATCCCYCAGTTCTTTTTATTTTTTTATTTTGAGACAGGGTCTTGTTGTGTTGCTTAGGGCCTAAGTTGCTGAGGCTGGCTTAGAACTTGTGCTCCTCCTTCCCCAGCCTTCTGAGTTGCTGAGATGACAGACATGTGTCACCATGCCCAGCTACAATAGAAACTCTCTTAACTACTCTCCATTCAACAACACACTAGATTAACTGTCACAATGTCCAGTCTCTTTCTGTAACACTAACTACTGTCTGCAGTATGCCGAACATGAARCATCCCTGCTCCCATCATGATAGGGGTTTTGGCACAGAAGGATGGAATTCAACAATACACTAGACATCTTGCCCCTTTCAAGTGAAGAAAAGGCATTTGATATCTATAAAATTCAGAGAAGTCTTTAAAAGGAGACCGAAAATTGAGGAAGAAGTCACAAGACATTTTGATGCAGGGGCAGGTAACATGCTGTAGAGAGTAAGTGTTCAGAAAAAGGGGAACGTCCAAAAAAAYTAGTGCAGATTTGGAATTGCTGGTGAGGAAAATGGAAGGTCAACATTAAGTTGCTGAGGCTGGCCTGGAACTTGTGATCCTGTTGCCTCATTCTCCCAAGTCACTGAGATTATAGGTGTGCACCACTGTGTGTGGCAAGAGGACAGAATGAAGGATGAGCAGATGGAAGTGAAGATTCAACATGGGTAGAGACCATGTATTTACAGTGCCACACTCTGAATTGTTGAGATTGTCTTCAGAGTGTTCAGCCTCCCCCTCTCYGAGTATGGGAATCAGCACAGAGAAGGTACATTATTAATAATATAAAGTTGGAGGCTGGGGATATAGTTGTATACTAAAGCACTTGCCTACTATGTGGGAAGCCCTGATTCAATCCACATCACCACTAAAAAAAAGTTGTGTTTTTGCTGGGTTGATTCAATAGAAGGACAAGAGTGTAGGTGGTGAAAGGAAATGCTTGTGAGAATAGCTCAAAAATCTAGGTTATGTAGGAAAGAGGTTGAAGGGACTGAGAAAACATAGAAGAATTGAAGAATATGAGATGCCAAAAAGGTCTGGGCATAGAGATGCACACCTGTAATCCCAGTGACTCAAGAGGATCTCAAGTTTGAGGCAAACCTCAGAGCAATTCAGCAAACCCTCAACAACATAGTAAGACCCTATCTTGTAATCAAAAAATAAATAATTAAAAGAACTGGGGATGTAGCTCAGTGGTAGAGCACACCTGGGTTCAAAAAAAAAGATATAGAAAAATTAAAGAACTGTAGTAAAAGGAGAGAAATGAAAAAACGGGAAGACTATATAGATATTAGAATCCGATGGTCTCAGCTGTGAGTACCATGGGAGTGAGTACATATAGTAGTTTGGAGATGAACATGATGAGAGATCTGGAAGTTTAAAGAAACATGAGGCTTGCATCCTTCTCAAGGTGACACTAAAGGTTATACCACTAAACAGAGATAGCAGGTAAGAAGAAAAACTGACCTTGCCATAACTTGTAGAACTGAATTAAATGAGCCTCAAAGGAGTAGGGCCTTTTACATGAGGGTTGAAGGAAGTAATCACCAAACATTGGTATCAGGAAATTGGGGGCTATCAGCAATCTTCACACCCAGAGTCATGTGAGATGGAGAAAAAAGTAGCTTCCACTTAAAGGGCTTCAGAGTTTTTTTGAAAGCCCACTTTCTTTTAAAGCTTGGGATGAAACTCAGTGGTAGAGCACTTGCCTGGCCCTGGATTCAACCACTAGCATTACAAAACACACTTAAAACTCTAGTTTGTAGAGGCACTAATAAAGATATTACTATTATTTGAGATTTATATATGAAAACCAATCCACATTGTATGAACCATCCCCCAAGCTGGAGATACACAAGGCATAGTGTGGTATGGGAACCATTAGCTAAATGTTTCTCTTTTGACCACAGAATTCAGTTTCCTAGAAACACTTTTTAATATACACCACAGAATATGTAGTAGGTGGGTTGAGTTAAGATAAATTTCTTTACTATGAATATGTGCTTCTGGGAGAGTGGGAGAACAGGCTAGGAAAAGAAAGCACCAACGCAGGAGGGTAATGCAGAAGACACAATTGCAGGGACTCCCACTGAGGCATTCATCAAAATTCCTAAATGTAAGTGAAATCTCCAGATTACACACAGAATTCTGGTTTTAAAGTGTCAAAATTCAATGCAGACAAAAGTTGAGAAAGTGACATCACAAAAATACTTAAAAAAAAAAAGCAGTTAACCAAACAAAAGTGGGGAGATGATGGGAACAGAATGTGTAAAAGACTGCATAAAGAGAAAGTTTTTTTTTAATTGAGGAACTCTTGTTTGAAATTTAGAGGTGGAGAGAGGGTATTGGAAGAACTGGTGTTGATAAAGACCAGGGTCCCTAGCCTGAGGGTTCATAGGAGTTTTGAAAGTGGAAGTACACTAATCAGATTTGCATTCTGACTTCCAGTGTTTCTGCAGTCTTGCCTGAAGGAATGAAACAGGTGAAAGTCTTTTATGGTAATCCAAGAGACACTGTGATGCTAAATAAAGCCAAAGATTTGTGGTAGAGCAGAAGAGGAGGGAGGAATTCAGAAAACATTGGTACCAG